CCCGGGGCTAAGGGATCGGGCACTCCGGCTCTCAAAGAGAGACAAGAAAGGAGTAGAAGGGCTAGGAACCTCATAGTGCTTGCTCTAGCGGATCAGGTTCTAAGGAAGGTCATATCCGAAAGGACGGCCTTCGGAATCTGGAGGAAACTAGAGCGGTTGCACATAGAGCAATCTCTCCCCAATAGGATGTACCTCATGCAGAGGGTGTCAGGGTTTAGGATGGACAGCTCTAGGACAATAGAGGAGAATTTAGACATTTTCCAGAAACTATTGTCCGACCTTCACAGCCTAAATGTGAAGGTAGAGGAGGAGCATCAAGCAGTTTATCTGCTGAACTCCTTACCTCCTGCTTATGAGCAGCTGAGGGAAGTCCTGAAATATTCCCGAGCTACAATCTCGGTGGAGGAGGTGAAGGCCGCAGCTAGGATGAAGGAGCTAGAGCTTCTAGCTCAGGGTACCCTTACTCGGGGTACGGGGGAAGGATTAGTGGTCAAGGGCAAACCCGAGAAATCGGGTGGCGGGAAGAAGAAGGCCAAAGACCAGGTGGAGTGTTGGTATTGCGGCAAGAAGGGACACTATAAGAAGGAGTGTAGATCCTGGAGGGCGAAGGAGGAGACCGAGGGTAAGGGGGTAGTAGCCTCGGTTCAGGAGTATGATTCGGAGGTACTTCTAGTATGCTCCGACTACTCCTCGGGTGGAGGTTCGGAGGTGAGGTCTCCACGTCTAAGTGGAGTTACCTCGGGTAGGAAGCTCAGGGGAAGGGGCGAGTGAGGGAATGCCGGGTCACCGGGTAGAGTCGGTGAGGGTAGTAGCGCTAGGGGCATTTCCTCTCGGGGTGGAGCACGTGCTTGCACGTGTTCCGAGCCTTCGGTAGAGTTCCTATAGGTCGACTAGGGGAGTCTTCACGGGGTAAAACCCATGGGGGCACCTTAGTCGGTAGGTGGGGTCCGGGATAGAGGTCATAGGTCGCTTGATCTTTACGGGGATCAAGAGTTAGGTGTGTTAGTATGACTCAAGGTTAGTCTCGGGGCAGTCGGGTAGACTCGGGGGACGGGTAGATGTCGGGGCGTGACCCTCGAGGGGCCATTGGTGAGGTATAGACTTCACCGGAGGGGGTCACTTAGACGGTCTAGGGAGTCATACTAGTCTAGGTCTTAGGAAACCTTCGGAAGCGGAGGTGTCGGGGAACACTCGCTTGGGTAGGTTAAGTGCGTCGTATCACGCTGAGACGTGTTTATGACACGCTCGGTAAAGACTCCTTTAGAAAGGTAGGTTCAATACGCCTTGAACCATGCCCAGAGGGGGAGTTACATGGAAGTTACGGGATTGGCACTCTAGGGTTAGGCGTGTTTTGCTTGCTCCGTATTTTTTCTTTTTTGCAGGTTTGCAGAAGAAGGTGGAGAATTGTGGGGTCTTCAGCAAACCCTTTAGGCGAGAAGGAGGCTTTCGAAGCCTAGGTTCGAGACAGAGGGTTTGAGGACGGAGGGGCAATTCGGTCTTTTGGTTTTGTGGTTAATGAAACCCTAAGGTTTCATTTATCACTACAGACTTGTTCTTGGCCGTTTTGGTTTTAGGGTTTATTCTCTGAGTGTGTGGCGAACGATTCTTGGTTCTCCGGTGTCGGTGATCGGTTTTTCCGGTGGATTTCCGACTGTTTCTTTCTTGTAACCCTAGTAGAATGCTGATCCTCTTCCCGAGACGTAGGCACCGAGTTCTCTCGGTGCTGAACTCGTATATCTCTGTGTCATCTCCTTTCTGTTCTGTTCTTGAGCGTCGGAGTGATTACGGTGAGGAGTTCGTCGGGCCGATTACTCTACAGGAAACAAGATTAATCACCAAGTAAATCTCGGTGAAGCAATCAAAACAATATGTCGAACAAGACGTTAATCTCCTGGCCGTTTGAAACACACATATTCTATTTCCCACTTTTTTTTTAATTTATTTCTCTTTGATTATTCTTTCTATATTTTACCACCTTAAGTCGTTGACTCTTTTTATATATATTTGAACATAATTTATGTAAAACAATAATCATATAGAATATGGGACATTATCCCATTTTCGCCAATATTCTAATTTAAACATATAGTAACAAACATAAGAAATCTCATATATTTCTTCATAGTATCATAGCGTAAAAGTCCATGAACCCTTATGTTCTAAATTTTTTTTAATCTGAAATTCTCGATCATATAAAAACCGAAGAGAGTTCGAGTTTTTTTTTTGGTCATTTTCATCCGCCATATACATCCCTTAAAAGGTCGCATGAGGTGTATTTGGGATGATTTTGGAAATCTTCAAGAAAGAAATCATTGTTCATACATCGAACATGCCAACGATGTTATAGAACAATTTTGGTGTACCAAAGAGGAGGTTGACACATGGATGACGAACTATATGGGGAAGTTCAAACCATGTGTAGAGGATGAACTATATGAAGAAAAATAAAACGATGGGGAATGGAACGTAGAAGACATCCTAAATCAACTCCCACTACAAATCAAAGAGACGTTGGTGCAAACGGTCAATATAAACAATTTTGAGTTAAGTATCTCGTTTCTTAAAACTAATGAATTTGCTATATTGATTAAAAGAGGTCAATAAGAAAGCCAAAGAGAGTCTATCACAAATTCTATAAAATCTTCACGTGGTTCGTACTTAAAACTCTGCTTACATTGATAGAAAGGAAGAAGATTTGATGATATTTCAAGATGAACGATTTTGTTATTTTTTTTATGTGCTGTAAAACTTTAAAAAAAACGAACTAAGTTCTATTGAGGAGGACAGTTTCGGCATTATAAAATCCGCACGGGTAAAAAAGGGCATGTGACGGTCCATCCATTTCGATAAGACCAATCATGTATCAATAATATTATATTAAAATGCTAAAAGTGAGAGACGAAACGTTTCCAGATCTTTCTACAAGCTTCCTTCGCAGTTCGCACCGCTCTTAAATCACAGAAACTCTGGATTCCACCTTCATGTGAGAAGATAAAACAAAGGCGAGGAACAAAAAACCTCTGCCGCCATGGCAACAGAACGAGAAGCACAACGAGCGGAAACTAGAACAGAGACTCCCTCTGTTTTCCAAGGAGTTCTCAGGAACAGAGACCACCTCTTTCTCTTCACGCCCTTCCTCTTAGGATTCTCCGATTCACATACCCACCGGAACCCTAATCCAGACCCGCCGGGAAATAACGCCCGCGATGATCCTCCGCCGCCTGAGAGAATCGTCCTCGTCAACCCCTTCACACAAGTCATGGTCGTGATCCACAGATCACCGGGCTCGGATCCCCTGCTCCGCACCCTAGTCGGGAACCGTAAATCGGGTCGTCCTCCGGCGTCGAAGGCCTCCGTCGACGCGTTACCGGCCGTCGAGATCGAATCCGGCGGCGGAGAGTGCGCGATCTGTCTGGATGATATGGTGGTCGGAGAGACGGGGAAGGAGATGCCGTGTAAGCATAGGTTTCACGGACAGTGCATAGAGAAGTGGTTGCTGCTTCATGGGTCGTGCCCTGTTTGCAGGTTCGAGATGCCTGTTGATGAAGACCAGGCCTCGAAGAAGAGAGACGACGATGAAGGTGGTCAGAGAGAGATCTGGGTAAGGTTTAGTTTCAGTGACGGCGGTCGGAGAGGCAGAGATTCCGAGCATGACGCCCTATCTGACAACGGTGACCAGAGTGTCTCCGGCGAAACCAATGTCGTGGAATCTGAGAATTAGGGTTTTTTCTTTTGTCATTGTTCATCTTCTTCTTCTGAGTTTTTGATTTGGGTTTCGATCTCTTGAGTTGGATTCTCTGTTTTTTGGTGCAATGTGTAAATTTTGGTGCTTTTTTTTTCTTCTTTAAAAGAATTGTTTTCCTTTATTTTATTTTGTTGGTTAAATGGCTTAAAAGAATTCTGCTTGAACTAAAAGAACATTCTCCGAGTCAGAATCATGACACGGAAGATTCTGTCTGAACCAGAGGGAAGCAGCAGCTTTGGTTCATTTTGGAAATAAAATAACACCAACATGGAAAGTAAACAATCAAATACACTCTCCGCATGGAAGATATATGATTAAATAAACCTCAGAAAGGATTATAAAAAAAACAATCACTAAGATATTAATAATTCTGTAATTTACATCAATGCTTGTTTGGTTTGGAGTTATGGGTCCAATGAATTAGTCACGATTCGTAAAAAGAATATTTTAACATTGTAAAAATAAAATAAAAAGTCGAGAAAAAAACAAAGATTCGAATGTTTCCGAAACTCAAGTATGGATGGTGTCTTGTCACTAACAACTAAAGCAAAACCCAACATGCTTATGGGTTAGTCTCATCATTATTATAATCTCTCCACTTTATATTTATTGGATATTCTTAATGATTTTGCCTCTTCATTTCATAAAGTTTCCATCTTTACTTTTCTTCTCCTTTTCCCCCAACAAAATCCCCTTTTGCCACATCCACAAGCCTCCTCCACCAAATCTGTATACTGTATTATATAATATACGTAATAGAAATTTATATAATATTCCCATTTGTTCACACGCAAAATCTATAGTTTTATATGGGCAACCTACGTACGCAAAATGTTTTAAAACATTATCTTATAAAACCCAAATTCTTGGCTCTCGGACCTAATCCTGTGGTTTGGAAAAAGTTTCAATCTCTTTCTTGTAACTAACTCAAGCTCAATCTCAAGTGTTCACCTCCGTAAACTCCGACGGCTCTCTTCTCCTGAGGCTGTTCCACGCAAACGGCGTCGTTCGAGCTCCTCCTCCTCTTCTTCGTGTTCATCCCTTCTGGTCTCATCTCCATTAATGGAAGCTCCAGCGATCTCCTCGTGAAGCTCTCGCAGTTTTCGGATTTGGTCTCCGTGCTCTCTGACGAAGTCAACGAGCTTTCGACCGAACATCTAGTTTGAGGTCGCACGTTTTTGGGTTTCTTGGATCCCAAGAATCCTCCTTTGGTTTCTTCGTCTTCGTCTTCTTCTGCTTCTGTTAGTTCGGAGAAGGAAGAACTCGGGCCACCATTATTCACCATTGACGCTAATCTGGAGAGCTCGGATCTCGCAAATGCTAAGCCGAGATTCGAAGAAGTGTAACCAGAGAGAGTTTCTTGAGCTTTCTTCAACACAGACTGTAGATACTTCCCTTGTGCCTCTATCTTCACCTGCAGACGCCTCTGTACCTAAAAAGGAAGCAAGAATTCAAGATACCGACACATGTTCGAATGGATTCAGACAAGAGGGATAGAGGAAAGACATGCATGTTTCTGATTCGTCTCTAGGACAAACGAAACTCACTTCAATTTGTTCATGCAGCTTCCTCTGAACTTCCATCTGCATTTGTAGCGCCTCTTCCATCTGCTCGCTTCTGTGTCAGAGACCAAACAAAAAAAACAAAAATCATTCAAGATTTGATTCCAAGACATTAATTAAGATCCGTTAGAAACACAATCTTGTCCGATCCCTTTTATCATTACTCGTCTTGTTTTTCCTTGGTGGCTCCGCCTTCGACACCTTCATGGGCGTTGTTGGTGTGAACTTCTTGGTTTTCATCGGCAGGGACAGCCTCTGAAAAGAACAAAACAAGATCCATGGAAATGGAAATGATTTAACCCACTTGCTCAAATTATTGTCCAATACTGCAAAAACCGAAATAAATATAAAAATATATGGAATCATAATCAAAGAGCTTGTGACCTTCGTGCTTATCGTTAACGCAGCTTCCACCGAGTTGCAGGCTCTTCCCAAGCCGATATTTCTGCAGAAACGAAATGAAGACATACCGATCAAACATCAATCAAAGGAAACAAATTTATCTGTATCAAATCAAATCCACATGTTCTTGAACCTGTAAATGGCTCTTGAGATGGTACAACGTCAGCCCAGGGATACACATCATCTTCATCACACCCTTCGGCGTCGCTTCTGCAACCAAAGGAACACCAAAAAAAAAAAAGAATTAGACAATGGATAAGATTAAAAAAAAAGACACCGGACTCGGACAAAAAGAAAAGAACAGAAGAAGACGAAGAAACCGAACTCTCTGGTCCTCCGAGCTGATTGACGGCTTCAACGAATCTGTGATGGAGCTCAGAAGTCCATTTCAACCTGGGCTTGGTGTCGGTGGACAAGACGAGATTCATGCTCGGTTTCTGAATATTTTCCATGAACACGCATAAGATTTCCACCGATGATAAGAGGAAAGATACTAGGATCCGATCAAAAGGGCTTTTAATTTAGGATTTGTTGTGTTTGTTGCCACAGATTTGGCGATTTTATAATCGTGGAGTTGTTGGGTCTCTCTCTCTCTCTCTCTCTCCATATCTGGAAACATGAGTGGGGTTGCGTTGGAGGAGGGAATATATGCTCTCTTGACCCTTTCATCTTCTTTCCCTTTCTCTTTTAATTTCTTAATATTTTTCTTTTTAATTTGGACTTTTTTTTATATTGTGAATAATTAATTTCTCTTTCATTGCTCATTTCCCAATTTCACACAACTTTCTTTGTGTTTTTTCACTTTGTAATTTCGTGTTTCTTTTCCTTCTTTGACTTGATGTGGTTAGACAGAATCTATGATGCAATGAGATCAGATAAGGATGTTGTCCGCTTCCGTGGTTTTTTTTTTGTATTGGCGACACCGTCCTAATTATGTACATACACACACACACATATATATATATATAATAGTTAACTAAAATGGCGCTTAATTTCTGCTTTCCAATATATAATCCATCTGGTTTTTTTATGTCGAAAGGGTATTTTTTTAATATCTATGGGTCATAAAGTATGGAAAATGAACATTCAGATTTGAAATGTATAAAAACCCGTATCTATACAGATATGAACTTGGATATAACCTCTGACCATTATGGATCCGTTAATACAATTAGAAGCCTTATAAATTCAATTAAGTCAAAAGGTTGGATCAAAAGATTCTGATCAAATTTAAAAGATATGTTTTTTTTTCCAATTGGAATCAAAATTTATAATACTATCGCATTAATAATTATTATCTCATAAAATAATGCGGGAACTTGCAACCTCTAGTTCGTATTTATATTTGATTATTCTAAGGGACTGATTGTTTTGTACTTAAATAGTCTTAAAAATCTGTAAAATGTTTTAATAGTCAAAATATACGAATTTCGTATTAAGTGGTGGAAATAATTTTTAGTTTGTAGATGCATGGGAATTAGTTCTATAAATTTTGAGTATTTTAGAAGTCTTATAACGTTATTGGTAGGGGTGAACATTCGGTTCGATTATTAATGGAATCGAACTGAAGATATTTCGGTTATTAATCGAATTGAATCGAATAAACAATTGGTTATGAATTCGTAAAATTCAAAATAATCGAATTCAAACCGAATCGAACCAATTAAAATTTAATAAACGTTTGGATTTGAATTTTGAAAACCCAAAATAACTTAACCCAAATCGAATTGAATCGAACAATTTATACATCTCATTTATATATATTTATATACATTCATGTATTCCTAATTTAGATATTGTATTATTATTATTTTACTTATTTCATTATTATTGTTTAATTATTTGCGAGATTTATTCGACATGAACATTTGAATATGAGAAGATTTATTTATAAATATTTTTATTTTATTGTTTTTGTATCTAAATAAATTATGACATGAATTTAAATTTTGTTGTTTTATATATTAAGATAATAATGATGATATTTTATATAATATCTTGTTTAAATATTTTTCTATTATAAACAATCTATTTTTTAAATATTATGACCAAACCAAATAGATCAAATTTTTATTTGGTTATAATTTTAAATAGATGCGATCGGGTTGAATGAATCGAATAAAATTAAATAACTGTTTAATTATAAATTTTTAAAAAATAAAATAACCGAATTCAAATTAATTTTAAGCGATTAATCCGAACCGAATCATTTGCCCATCCCGCGTTATTGGTAAAACTATGATACCTATTAGATGAGATATTTATACACGCGTTCTAGAGTTACAAAAACAATTGGATTTTGGGTTGGATTCTACTGGTGGGGAGGGATGTAATTTCTGGATCAAAATGATCCATATACAAAAAGTTGGTAGTCGGGCCGAAGGCGTGGGAACCATTCTGATTATAAAAAAAAAACAATTGGACTTGAGAATATAAGATATGACAATTGATAATAGCATGCATATATACGCGTGTAATGATGTGTCCCACCACCATTCTTATTATTATTATTATTTGCATCATGCCATCAATTCCCCAAACATTCTAAGCAAAGCATTTTAGTATATCACAGCCACACACACATTATAATTTTGGCCTATTGATATTATAATCCTATAAATATCGGATCTTTACTCGGCTTGTATAGTAATCTCAGCGCCAAATATATATACACTGGCATTTATTTTTTTTATTTTTTTTTAAGATTTTGGTAAATGATTTTGTCCTGAAAATAGATAAATAGCTCTAATTCATTTTGTGCGAATATATTTAAAACTAATAATGTGTTTGTATGTGAATTAATTATGATGTTTTTTTTAGATTAAGTAGAATTGGCTGTGATTGGGAGATTCTTTTTGTTGGATGTAGGGATGAAGGAATCTACCTTATTTGTCTTTTATAAAGAAAGTGAATCATATAGTCGGATTTCTTACAAATATAATAATATAAATGATTATTAAAAATAGTTAAATTAATAAATAGTATCTAATGTGTAACCCGGAAATGACCACAACAGGTTTTTCTGTGAACCTTTTTCCAGCTGGCAGTGTTGATGTCAAAGTACCATAAATGTCTGGGTTTTTTAATCATAGAAAAATAATACTTACTTACTTATCAAATAATCGAATTGAATCAAATAAGATATAATTGTAATCGAAACGAATCTCATTTAAAATGGAATGCTTATAATTTTCTAAACCAAAAAAATTACATCGGATCTAATAAAAAAAAAATAAACAAAAAATTCGATAATTTCTTTCAAAAATTAACCTTTATCTATAAAACCGAATCAAACCGTATCGAAATAAAACCGAACTAAATCGAATCGTTCCAAAGTTAATATAAAACCCAAATGAATATAATTTTTTATAACCGAAATAATCGAATCTGAATATAACCGAATCAAATTCGAACCGAAACTTGGTCACTCCTAACACAAGCAAAAATTTTGAATTTAAAAGAAAATAGATTTATGTATATCATGTCTATTTATTTTCTTTTTTATACTAATTTACAGAATCTAAACATATATTTATAAAAATATAACATATTTTTATTTCAATCATGTAAAAAGGATTTCATAGCCCTTTAAAGGACAAGATCATTGTCACATTCTTTACACACATATTATTACACTACTAATACAGTTATACTTGCCTCCATCGATTGGCAGCGGTTATAACCTATAATATTATAAATATTCGTTTATTTAGAAAACGAGTTGTGGGTTTTTCTTTTTAAATTTAGATTTACCTTTTATTCTATTTTTTTTATGAAATCCATAATAAATGAAAAAAAAAGAGGTCGAGAAAATGGAAAAAGGGAGTTTTGTGAGAGAGCTAAGGAATGGGATCTGATCTTCGAATTTATCGAATTACGTTCGTCGGAATCGAAATCCAATTAATGATTAGCCTCTTGATCCTTTTTTGCTTTTTCCTTTTCTTAATCTAACTAAATATAATGTTTAATTAATTACTAATTAGAGCATGACAACACTATATATCTCCCTTAGAATGTTTTGTTTAGCCAGACCATTATGTTTTCAAATTTATGGATCCCAAATTGTTGATTTGGTGAAATGGATAATATTATATTTTCTGCCACTTATAACTTGTATGGCACCGATTTATATAAAAGGGCAGTCCGGTGAACAAAACATACCCTTTGAACGGGGTTCGGGGAAAGATCCCATCACAAGGGTGTATTGTAGGCAAACATTATATATATAATATATATATAACAAAAAACGGAGATTTGGTGAAATGGGTGATATTGTGTGTGTATATAACAAAAAAAGGGACCCAATTACGGAAACGGGAGAAAACATCTTTTCCTACTCAACTTCGAGTTACTGTTTCGGTGGTAATCTTTCATTTGTTCATTTCCAAAAGAATGGAATATTATTTGCAATCATTCAACCCATATTCTCATATTATATATATATATATATATATATATATATATGTATGTATGTATATATGTATGTATATATATATATATGTATGTATGTATGCATGTACGTATGTGGCCCGAATGTTTGAGAAACAAGCAAAGCAGACAACCAAAGCAAAGAGAGGACGATCATACCTAACTTTCTCTTTAACCAGCTTGTTTTTTTCATTCTTGGACTTTTGAAAAAGGAGAACAAAAATATTCTGCAATTATTTTTTTTGGAAATTATTATAGGAAGCATCTGTGTCCCGGATGGAAATATAATTTCTGATCAAAATCTCTCTCTCGTACCGACGTTCCACAATCACAATATACAACATAGTACATGTACTGTTACCATATATATATATATATATATATATATATATATATATATATATATATATCTTTTTTTTGGTGATAT